CTATACTAGTTTAATGAGTATGCACTTTGTTGAGCATGAATTCATAGCTTAGCATCAATACTTGTAGTTTACTAGTGGGCCATTAAGCCTTAATTGCAAGTACTCTGCATCTCTAAAGAAGCAAAATTGAATACATTTAGGGGGGAAAATTAAAATAGTTGAGTTCTAAATTTGTTTTCTATTGTTAACTTGAAATGAAGTTCTCTGCCACTAGATCTTGTTTCTGATTTCCTAGATGCATGTTATGTGAATTAAAGCCATCCCTGATCACAATGTATTGGTTGTTATTATCTTGTTTTTGGAAGTATGGATTGTTTTTGCAGAAATGTTTTGAAGGATGGAATGCTTGCTATATATCCACCCAAACTGTTGGTTGCTTGGGACCCTTTAGAATGCGGTGAAACTCCTTACTTTCCTTTTGGACATTTTGGACCATTTAACAGCAAAATTTGTTGAGTAATGTTTTTTCTGCCATTGCAAGGCCAAAGTTGTTGAATCTTGAAGAGCAAATTCATGCCCTTTGTTACAAGGCTGGACAATTGTTTGTTGTCTCTGTTTGTAATGCAATAATTTCATTGTATGAGAAATGTACATTGAAATTATTGGAATTATGTGAACTGATGGGTTTTGCCAAGGGTCTTTGATGAGATTGTAGAGATTCTGTTTCTTGGAATTCTCTGATAACTGGTTATTCTGAGAATGGGATTCTAAGAATGAGATTTTTTGTGAGGCCATTGCAATGTTTTGTTGATACAGCCTAATATATGTACTCTTGCTAGCATTTTTTTGTTGATTTTTTAGTGTTGTTGAATTTTAATTTGGAGATGAACAAATAGTTTGGAGATATGATTGATATTTTATGTTTGGCTGTTGAGAAATCAAGTTAGTATTTTTAGAGTAGTTGTTACAAAATCAAAAGGCAAAAATAAAAAATATTATCAAACTTTTAGAGACCAATTTTATTTGTCTCAAAAAAATTATAACTTTTACCGACCATACTAAAACTTTTAGACATCAATTTTACTTGTCTCAAAGACTAAAACTTTTAAAGACCAATTTGTGTTGTCTCAAAAATTAAAATTTTTAGAGACCAATTTGTGTTGTCTCAAAAACTAAATTTTTTTTCTCCATGACTACTTCTTTGGCCCTGGGGTTGTAATTAGACTTTTAGAGATAAATTTTGGTTATTTCAAAATCAAAACTTTTTGCAACCATAAATTTTTTGTCTCTAAAAGTTTATATATAGTGACAAATGCAAAATTTTCACTCTAAAAAGTCAATTTTTGGCTTTTCCGGATAGACCATTTGGGACAAACTTCCCGATGGATAAAATTAGTTGGCTAAAGTTTTTCCCAACAAATATTACACTTTTAGGAACGAAATAAATTTGTCTCTAAAAAATTGATTTCTTGTGGTGACTTCTCACTTATTTATTTATTTATTTTTGGGATACATTATAGGCTATGGTGAATCTTGCATGTGACAAAATTAATATTCCTTAACTTTTAATTGAAAATAGGAATTCTAGTCAACCATGCTATCCCAAATAGTTTCGTTCTTTGCTCTCTTTACACGAATTCATGATCAATTTCTCATAAAAAAATTTTAATATCGTAGTTTATATTTCAATTTGAAAGAAATTTTTAACTGTAATTATTTATATTGAGTAGGGTGTAGATATTGTGCAAGAAAAGTATAGTTTGAGTGACAAAAGAAAAATCTTAATCACTGACGAGCAGAAATAAATGTGAATTATGAGCCAAGTTTCAACTTTCAAACTCTTCATCTATAGTTTGAATGATCTGTACAATTTGACACTTCTCTATTTTGAAACAAGGCACCTAATATCTCTTCCCATGTTTTTCTCATTTCCAAATTTTGCTAAATCCCCACTTGATAATAGTTTAATACTTTCCTTGTACAGGTTGTAAAGCAGCATAAGTTAAAGATTGATAATGAAAAATGAATTGCCAACTTGCCCTTATTGTCATACTCTCACCTACTCGCTAATGATGTTGGTATTGGTTCCTAAGTTATGAGGAAACGAAAAGGCTCACCCTCCTCTCTAGTTGGGTTTTTAATTTGGAGTGTATTATTGTGCTTTCGTGGATTCAATACGGAGCCGATCACATAGCCCATATTTATTATTCGAATCGTTTTATAGGTAAAATTTATTAATTATTTTATTTTTATAAAAAATTATATTAATTAGATATTGATAGTCACTTGATCAGATCAAATTTATATTAGTAACTTATTTTTAAAATCATAGTTACCATTAGAGAGAGATGTTTTACTAATTTTTTCTTTAAATATTCATGTAAATTATTTTTATTTGTAAAATGATAGTACATTGCTTGATGTTCAAGTAAGTTATAAATAATATTTTGCGATCACGCTATAAAATTACTCCTTTAATTTGATTTGATTTTAAGATTTTTACAGTTTGATTCTAAATTTCAGAAATTTGTAGGTAATTGTTTAGTCATTAGTTTATTCTTAAACAAACCAAATCAAATCATACTCACCCCTAATAAAGAAGTTTACGGTGTTTAATAATATGATTTAATACTTAAAACTAAATTGATTAAGTGATAATCAATTAAGTCCGTTTGATAACCATAATTCATATCACTTAAAAATTTAAGTGTCTCTTACAATGTAAACTAAAATTTAAAAAAAAATTTAAGTAATATAAAACTTAATTAATTCTGATTAAATTTATAAATACTAAACATAAGTATTGATATACACTACTATTTAAAGTGAAACATTATATAAATATCATATCACTGAAAAATTATTTATTGATTTAGGGATGTCACGTGACTATACCCCATATCAATCGCAAATTATCCTATCCTGCTATTTTTAAATTACCTAACACAAAATTATACATTTCATCTCTTCTATCAATCACAATATATCTGAGATGTCATGTAACCGTGTCCTATAACCATCAAATAACTTCGTCATACCACCTATTAGTTAAATAGTAATAGTAGAAATCTCCACAAAAAACAACCTCCAAAACTTTCAAAATGATCTGAATTATTTTTGTTACTGTCACACACAACTTCCTAAAAAAATTTAAACACATCAATGATCAATACATCAATAGGGATCCTCCTTTATGAGTCCCAAACATTTTTCCTTAGTAGAAAAAAAAAATCAAATCACATCACATCACATCACCGATAAAATCAATGACTCCCAGCGACAATTAGAATACACTACAAAAAAAATTAAGATTTTAAGGATTAAAATTTATGGACAAAATTATTTTTGTTGCGAAAAGAATCGTTATTATATTTTTAGCAATAAAAATTGGACATTAGTAATGAATTATTATTTTTTTAGGACAAAATGTTTTGTCTACAAAAATAAATCATTTTAAGACCAAATTATTTTGTCCGTAAAAGTATATTTATTAGTGACATTTTCAAAATTTTGTTGCCAAAAGCCTTATTTTTGACTTTTCAGGATGATCTTTTAGAGGCTATCCTCACGACGATAGAAATTAATTCCTAAATGTCTTTTGTAACAAAATTTTCACTTTTAAAGACTAAAAAATTTAATTTCTAAAACTCTTATATGTTGTAGTGATACTACGAGTGTGTTTGGTTTGTATTTTGAGATAAATTTTTTTTTTTAAATTTAGAGAGATAGTTTAGAATTTTTTTTGATTTGTTTGGTTATATATTTTGAAAATAATTTGAGAATTTGAGATGATTTGATATTTTCTTATAGTTGAATAGATGTGTGTGAGAAAAAAAGTGATTAAAAATGAGGAGGAGAAAGAAAAAGTAATTAATTAATGTATAAGAGATAAAGTAATTTTTAAATATTTTTTTTAAAAAAATTTAAATCAAATAAAATTTTAAAATTCTTTTTTCAAAATTACATATTAAAATACAAACTAAACAAGCCGTACTTTTTGTTGGCATAGGCCTATTTTGGCAACATAGTTTGTAGTAACTTTTTGGGCAAATTACATATACACCCCTCCAGGTTTGACAAAATTACAGATACCCCCCTGAGGTTTGAGAAATTACGAATTCCCCCCTGAATGCTATATTTGCATAAGAAATTAGGGGGTAATTTGTTATGAAATATAAACCTCAGGGGGTAAATTGTTATGAAAATACAAACCTCAGGGGGCGGGATGTAATTTCCGAAACCTCAGGGGGGTATCTGTAATTTAACCAAACCTGGAGGGGTGTATATGTAATTTGCCCTAACTTTTTTTGATTAGTAGTAAAAGTCAAAAATTGGTTTTTTTGTCTTTTTTTTTTTCATTTGGGATGTTGGTTTTTAGTCAACGGTGAAATTACAATTTTACCACTCATGGGTCAAAATGTGTTACATAGATAAAGTTATAAATATTTTAAATAAATGGGGGTAGTTTGGTCATTTTATTATGATTTGACATCATAAATAAATATTAATAAAAAAAGTCAAAAGTCACTTTTTACCAACTTTTCAAATCATTTGTTTAAAAAAGTCAAAAAATTAGGCCTCGTTTGGCAAGAGGTTATTTTAGCCAATTAGTCAGAAAGTTACTAGATTAGCCAAAAAGTCAACAATTCATACCAAAAAGTCAAAGATTCTCTTTTCTCTCTACTTTTTGCACATCTTTTCGTAATTAGCCAAAAAATCATTCCAAGCATACAATTTTTTTTTACCTACCTTTTTAGCCAAATAGCCAAAAAATTACTAAATTAACCTATTTCCAAACGGGGCCTTAATTAAAAACCAAAAAATCACTTTTTACCATCTTCTCAAAACAACCAATAGTTGGACCAGGAAGGCCACGTTTGCTGCGACCGGAAAGAGTATTGACGGGACGTTTTAATGAGTAGCCGTCTCCATCCAACCCTCTTAATTGCACACGTGACGTAATACTCTCTTTTCCTCCTCCAAACTCGAGCCCTCTCTCTCCTCTACTTGCAGAAGAACTTTCCAAGAAACAAGAATAAAGTAAGTAAAGCTAAATGCCCCAAAAAAAATCAATTAAACAATTCCCAACTGGGATCATCCAAGTTCATGAACCCACTTTCTCAAACCCAACCCACCAATCCCTTTATAAACTTCCCACCCATCCTCTCATTATGTCTCCATCTCCATCTCTTATCCTATACACACTCAACTCAAGTCAATCTCTATAGACACACCATTACACTTGTAATTCCATTCTACATATTTAATTGTGTTTGATTCTGATATGATGATGTACGCAGACAATGATTTGGATGCTGATTTCGCTCTTCTCGAGTCGATACGTCGTCACTTGCTGGGTGAGTTTGAAGCTCCGGCGTTAAACTCCGCAGACTACTGCTGGGTTAACAACTTGTTCCCTTCCTTCAATGCCAACTCGGGAGACCTCACTCTGAAAGAGAACCATTCGGAGGGCATGCTGCCGGAGAACATAGGATGCCTTCCCTCGTCTACGGCGGCGGAAACCACCGCTGATGTGAAGCTGGAGCCCGAAATTGGTAATTTTCCGGAAAAAGTGTCTTTTCCGGATGCGCCACCAGCGGGGGCGGAATCGAAGGGGAGGCATTACAGGGGAGTGAGGCGGCGGCCGTGGGGGAAGTACGCGGCGGAGATTAGGGATCCGGCGAAGAATGGGGCTAGGGTTTGGCTGGGGACGTATGAGACGGCGGAGGACGCCGCCGTGGCCTATGACATTGCAGCGTATCGCATGCGCGGGTCACGTGCGCTTCTCAATTTTCCGCTCCGGATTAATTCCGGTGAGCCGGAGCCGGTGCGGATAACGTCAAAGAGGTCGTCGCTGGATCGATCTTCGTCGTCGTCGGAGAATGGTTCTTCACAGAAGAGGAGGAAGAAGGTGGTTGTGAAAGCGGAGCCGGCGGTGGCGGTGGTGGTGGTGGTTCAGCCTGAGTTGCAGGAAGTAGGAGGAGGAGCGGAGAGTGGATTGGAGACTATACAAATACAATTTGACCCCAATTATTCCACTTGGTTCATGGCTTCTGAGTTCTCTGATTAAGGGCTGTTTGGGATTGTGCATATATGATTTTTGTTGTTTAATTGATTCTTTTCTTGGATCAGAATTTTTTTGTTTTTTTGTTCTTATGGAAGACATTTGTTCATATCATGAAAATGAATGATGTTTTGAGAGTCTTCCAATGCGTTGTATCTCACTATTTAACTCATACCAGTTAATAGTAATTTATTTATTTATTTTTTATTTTTTTTTACCTATGGTTTTGCATCACAATTGTATGCTCATCAAGTTGCATAACAGAGGTGAGCTCAATCTATTTGTCATTTGTAAGGACTAGGTATAATTTATCCAAAATTTATATTATTTCACCAGTTAATATTGGACAATTTCAAGCCAACTCGCCTTGAATAATACTAGCCTTTTAATTTAGGAGGAATCACTAAATAATAAGACAGGAAAAAAAGCAAATGAGGTGGCTGATTGGGCCACACAGCAGCTATTGTTCTGTGTTAATTTTGGAATCCGTTTTAATAATTTAAATTATTTATTTTTTAAAATATATTAAATAGAATATATATATAATCAAAAAATCAAGTTAATTAACATTATTTATTATTTTATCGAATTGTATATGTATCTATAAAAATAAATGACAAATAAGTTTTGAAGTATAAAATTGAATACAAATATGTGTGAATAAAATATTTATCAATATTCAATCAATTTTATTTTTTGTAATTATGTTTTACTCGATATATTCTAGAAATTGAACGGTTTGAATTATCAGAACAGGCTCCAAAATGAGCCCATAAAACTGCACAACAATGACTATATCCGTTGCATTCCATCGCAAGATGAATTTTATTCAATCACAAGATGAATTGTATCGGCATGTTTTGTCAAATATTTTTTTGGGTAAATTACACTGACACCCTCTGAGGATTATGTTTGTTACAGTTCCTCCTTCATCTTTTGAAAATTACATCTTTCTCTTTAAGGTTTAAAGTTTCATTACAGATTTCCCCCCTCAGCAATTTAATTTTTTTAAATACCAATTTTGCCCTCACTGGGTGAATTACGTTGACACCCTTCACATTTTAAAAATTACATTTTTTTTGGTCGCCAAAAGGTGATTTTCCGCGACCAAAAAATTGTGGTCGCCAAAAGTTAAATTTTAGTCGCAGAAAGTGGACTATTTGCGACCAAAAAATATAGGTGGTCGCCAAAAGTGTTTTTTCTTGTAGTGTGTATCGGCATGTTTTGTCAAATATTTTTTTGGGTAAATTACACTAACACCCTCTGAGGATTATGTTTGTTACAGTTTTTCCTTCATCTTTTGAAAATTACATATTTCTCTCTAAGGTTTAAAGTTTCATTACAGATTTCCCCCCTCAACAATTTAATTTTTTTTAATACCAATTTTGCCCTCACTGGGTGAATTACGTTGACACCCTTCACATTTTAAAAATTACAATCCCCTCCTTAAGGTTTAAAATAGCATTACTAATTTGCCCCCTCGGTTAGTATTAGTTGAAAAAAAAATTCATTTAAAAAAAATTAATTGGAAAAAAATTAATTGAAAAAAAAAGCAATTGAAAAAAAAATTATTTGAAAAAAAAATTAATTGAAAAAAAAAATTTGTTAGTAAAATTTTTAAATTTCTATTTAAAAACCAACGTAAACTCATTTTTTGAATTTAGGCCTCTTAATTTTTAATTTTTAAATTTTTTTTTTAAAAAATCAAACCATACATAGCTTAAGAATCTTTTGATAAGTCATTTCTTACATTAGTAACTTATTTAATTATTTGTTAATTTTATGACATATTTACCATCTGAGGCCTGTTTGGTAACCATTTCGTTTTCAGTTTTTAATTTATATTTACAAAAATTTTAAAAATTGTCATAAAAACTTGTTTGATAATTTTTTTTGGTTTATAAATTGTTATCTCAGTTTGTTAATTTGAGAAAAAAACATAAATTCAAAAAATGAGTCTACGTTGGTTTTTAAATAGAAATTTAAAAATTTTATTAACAATTTTTTTTTCAATTAATTTTTTTTCAATGAATTTTTTTTTAATGAATTTTTTTTCCCCCAACTAATACTAACCGAGGGAGCAATTGGTAATGCTACTTTAAACTTTAGGGAGGGGATTGAAATTTCTAAAATGTGAGGGGTGTCTATGTAATTTACCTAATGAGGAAAAAATTGGTATTTAAAAAAATTAAATTACTGAGGGGAAGAATCTGTAATGAAACTTTAAACCTCAAGGAAAGAGATATAATTTTCAAAAGATAAAAAAGAGAACTATAATAAATATAAACCTCAAGGGTTGTCAGTCTAATATATCGTATTTTTTTTCTCCTACTCATGAATTGTAATTCCTCCTTTAATTTACCCTAAAACGTTCAATATTACATTGCTATATGTTGTGCTGCTCGATTTATGTATTTATGGACAAAACTAGCATGTTCCTTTATCCATTAACGTCATGTCTTTTTATGTTAATTATATCATAATTTTATTTAATAATGGAGTTTTATGACTACAGTATCTTTAATTTTCTCACCCTTAACTATTATAATCTCATACTAATGCATTTTGCAGTCACATCATTTTTCAAATTACAGTTTAGATATATGTTAATTAGAAATGAAGTATTCTCGTTGATACGCTAGTATCTCACCAACACCTCTTGATTATTTTTTAAAAGCTAATTATTAGAGGTGAACAAAGGCATAATAAGAGATTTTGTATCGGTTCAAACTCGATTTGATCCTAGCATCAGACCTCTTTATTTATCTAACCAGATCTAAAACATAAATTACACCTTATCACCAAAAGTAGAGCCCTACCACCGCAGCTATAAAATCACCACTTCCTATCTACTAAAATATGTCAACATATTACTATTAGAACACAAAATGATGGGTTCCAAAATCGCCTCATCATTTTAGGGAGGAAAAAACACGATTTTGATTTATAAATTCAACAAAGTCATCCCAATATTATTTTAGAAAAGAAAAATAATTTTGTGTTTGTATTTTACTATTTTTGATCTCAATGTGGACACAAAATAGCACTACAAGAAAAAGCAGATTTCGCGACTAAAAATGAATTTTTCGACCCTGAAAGTAGCAGAATTGGCAACTAAAATAGAATTAGTCGCCAAAAGTGAACACTTTTGGCGACTAAAACAGTTTAGTAGCCAAATGTAGGGGTTTTAGAGACTCAAACTCAGTTTAGTCGCCGAATATAGCGGTTTTAGCGACTAAAAAAATTTTAGTAGCCAAAAGAGAAGGTTTTTGGCGACTAAAAACATTTAGTAGCCAAAAGTATAGGTTTTGGCGACTAAAAAATAGTTTGGTCGCCGATGATACGTGTTTTACTGACAAAAATCAATTTCGTAGCCAATAGTGAAGCTTTTTGGCTACTAAAAAAAATTTAGTAGCTAAAAGTCAAGAATTGCCGCCTAAAATGCAGTTTAGTCGCCCAAAGTAGAGGTTTCGGCGACTAAATTTCAGTTTAGTCGCCAAAAGTGGAGGTTTTTCAGTGGGAATGAATTTTTTTAGCGACTAAAATATAATTAGTAGCCAAAACTATACAATTGGCGACTAAAAAATAGATTTAGTCGCCAAAAGTGATCTAATTTTTTTTTTAGTAAATAATTTATTTTTTACATAAATTATATTGAATAAAAATAATTATTTTTATATATATAGCTAGATATTAATACGGGTCAATATAGTATATAAATAATATATGTTGCATATATATTCATGTGGTGTTGTAATGGCATAGTGGAGAGAGTGTGTTGCTAAAGGTTTAAAATGTGGGAGAGGTTGGCGGTTCGAATCTCAGAAAAAGCAAAAAAGTTGATTTTTTTTTTTTTCACGGAAGCACCTTTGGCGACTAAAATTTTAGTCTCCAAAAGTGTTTATTTTGGGCGACTAAACGGTTTAGTCGGCGATTCATAGACTATGGGCGACTAAAAGATTAAAAAGTATAAAATTTTAGTCGCCTATTGGCGACTAAAATGTGTGATTTTAAAAAGTATAAATCACTATTGGCGACTAAATCGTTGGTCGCTAAAGAGCTATTTTTTGCCGACTAAAAAAATTTTAGTTGCCAATACCTCCAGCGACCATATATACATACGACAAAACGGGCGACTAAAAAAATTAGTCGCTGAAAGTAAAAACTCGACTTTCGGCGACTAAAAACAGACTTTTGGCGACTAAAAATTTAGTCGCCAAAGGTGCTTTTTCTTGTAGTGTAGGCACTTGTATGATTTGTTCACTTACTTTGGTTTCATTTTCAAAATTTATTATTTGAAAAATAAAAAAACAAAAAAAACTAGGGGTATCACTAAATTGTATGTGGTAACATATATAAGCCCCTTAATTTTTATCGACTTATTTTATTTCAATAATATTAGGAATATAAAATAAAAATACTAAATAAATCCCAAAAATTTTATTGATATATTGGTAAAAATTTATATTAGTTGTAAATTCCATTGTAATTGAATTTGATACCAGCATCAATTATTTATTTTTGTAAATTATTATATATTCTTAACATTGTTGATTTTATTTGCATAATTTTTTTAATTTGTCACACATGGCTTAACAATCTAAAATGCTACAATTAGAGTATCTTCCGTCCTTAACAAAATCCTTCGTCAAATTAAATTTGATGAAAATTTTAATGAATATGAGATTCAATCCTTTCGTTAAACTTCTATCCAATTAAAATTTCACCAAAACTTCTATCCATTTTCGATTAACTTGAATTTTTTCAAGTATACTCTTACTACAACAAAATGCATTTTTGGAGACTAAATTTGGCGACTAAAAAAAATTTAGTTGCCAAAACTTGTGGAATCGGCGGCCAAAAATTTTTTTAGTCGGCAAAAGTACAATATTTAGCTACTAATTTTTTTTAGTCGGGAAATATTGATTATTGGCGACTAAAAAATATTTTAGTCGCTACAAATTCCACAATTGGCCACTAAAAAATGTTTTAGTCACTGTATAGATAGTTTTGGCTACTAAGGTTTTTTAGTCGCTGAATGAAAAATAAAAATTTAGTTTCAGACTTTTGATGACCAAATATATTTTCAGCGACTAAAACATTTTTTTATTCGCTACATAGCTAGTTTTGGCTGCTAAAATTTTTTTGTCGCCGAATAAAAAATAAAAATTTACTTTTTATCTTTGGTGGCCAAAAATTTATTTTTAGCGACTAAA